ATAAATTTTATGTAACTAAAATGTCCTAATGGGTTCAATTATATATTTTTCTTTGTTTTCTTTTTTTTTTGCAAGCGCTTCCGAGCGTAGCAATAAAGCATAACCCAAAAAAAAAAAAAAGCGATTCGACATCGAAACTAGCAATAATGTCATTCGAACTTAATATTTCTTGTTTTAAACGATTACCTAAGTTTAAAAATTAATTACTTAATTAATTAACTGAATTAATTACTTCAACAGATGGTTAGTGTCTCCTTTGAGTGTCTTCTTTTTCATACTGTTGTTTAATTCCTTTCTTGTAGGATATATCCTCAGTGTTCTGGGTCCATTTTTATCCGATTCTAAAAATAATGATGCTTCTATCATCACCCATAGTTTACTGAACAATTATGATGATATACTCAAACGGTTAGAAGCGAGAGATGTGATTGTCGTTGATAGAGGTTTCGGGATGCAGTGAGTGTTATGGAAAAGTTGGGTTTCTTTGTTGCCATGTCAAGTTTTTTGAATGGAAAAAAACAACTTTCAACCCCAAAAGCAAATAAATCAAGTTGTATGATTAAACTAAGATGGGTTGTGAAATCAGTTAATGGAAAAATAAAACAGTGGAAGTTTTTGAGTCAGACAATCCAAAATAACACAATACCATTTCTGCAAGGTTACATTTTAATTATTTGTTCATTGATCAATCGGTTCAGGCCTCCTACTCTTTTAAACTTAACTAAAGATACTACTATGGCTGATGATATGCTACAACGTTTACATGATCAAAATCCACTTTATGAACGTATTCTAAAAGATAGTCTTGCTAAAAATTCAAAATGGCATAGTTATGATGGAACTGACTGTACCTTTCCACAGTTTTCGGAGGACTAGTTACGAGATCTGACTTTCGGTGAGACTAGCTTAATTTATAGTTGATTTAAAACTTTGCTAAAAGTTCCTATCCACTTCAGGTGTCTTTCAAATAAAACAAGGTTATGTAGCAGAACACAAGAAACTATCAAGTTCTCCAAGAGAAAAACAATTTGTTGTAGAGCTATGTACAGATGAACCGGATCTTCTTAGAATGGAATATCAGTCACGTTTTGTTAACAGCAAAACACGTATCTCTTATGTCCAGTTTGATGGCAGAAAGGAATTACCAATAGTATGTTGTTATTGTACATGCAGTTCTGAAAGTCGTACGATAGGTTGGTGCTCACAGTCGGCAGCGACACTATGGTATCTTGGTTATGAACGATATCTAACATCCTAGTAAAAAATTATTTTTTGAAAAACTGCAGGTCCGGTACCCGAAAAAAGTATTGAAATATATACTTCAAAGTGTCTTTCATAAACTCATAGGAAAAACAGAGTGAGGGCCCCCCCCCTTAAGTGCCTAAGCAAAAATCACTTATGGGACAAAATCTAGATACATTTTATCTGTAATCAGGCGATGTCATCTAGATTACTAGTTGGAAAAGGGACTTTTAACTAGATGTGTCTGCATGTACAACTAGCAATAGTTAAATCGATCGATTATCAGGCGATAAATCGATAGTTGCATTGAGGAGAAATCTAACAGTCGCACGATAACTAAATTTCCACTGTCTTCACTAAATAATTGCAATCGAGTAAAAATCTAGTAATCTAGATGAATCGGGCGATAATAGATTTTTTTTTTAATGCATGTGTGTAAACCTTTTACGCGTGAGGAAAATATTTGTCGGATAGCAAACTTCACTTTCGTGAAAGGCACGTTTTGCTCGTTTTGTTTTTTCCAGTTTTTTCTTCTTGATCCCAATTTAACAACACTAAAGTACATACATATTACTCATTGGTACGTAATGAGTTACCTGCAATGTAGATGAATGATCAGAAAGAACGAGAAGGAAGCCATGAGAGAAAAGTCATAGTCAGCTTTGGCCAGATAAATAAAGGTATACAAGTTACATTGTATCAGCGAAAGCGGAGGATATCGTGAGTCGGTTGCTTTTTGCAAAGCAAAACGCAAAAAGCTTTCTCCGAGAAGACGTGCGACGGTTTTCTGTTCTGGTTTTCATTTTATAATCTCAAAGAGTTCATTTCCCACTACGATTGTCCAAAAACATAAACAAATTACATTTTAAACAAACAATTGCTCATGGGTAATCATTGGCCATCGCCTCAACATCATCATCATCGTCGCCACAATAAAGCAAGAAACATTCCCGAGCAATCAACAGTCCTGTGGCAGAAAATATTTTTTGGTGACGACTTCAACATGTTCAATATTGTAGAATCCAACGATAATGTTCTTCAGCAGCTAACATCAGTTCCACAAAAGAAAGTATTGAACATCCAACGAAGTCTCTCACTTCCGGATGTGTCCCATTCTACTCGTGTTGCGAGAAAGAAAACTACTCGTACTACGACACCGCTATCACACAATAGACAACCGAAGCAACAAACTCATTCAACTTCGAACATTTTCTTAGCTAATCATAGACGTAACCCGTTTGTGCATGTCGATATTAAACGATTTCATAATCGGAGAAAAATTGGAAATGGCAATTTTGGCACGGTATATCATGCAAAATTAGATGGTAATCGAGATGTGGCAATAAAAACATTGAATAACGGATATAGTACAAATGATTTGAATGATCCATCGGTACTCAACGGATTATTGAACGAGGCAAATATTATAGCTCAACTAAATCATCCGAATTTATTAAGTATGGTCGGTGTTACAATTGTGAGAGGTGCATTGAGTATTGTCACTGACTACATGTTGAACGGTTCGCTGAAAGATTATTTTCGAATCAATAAAAATATTTTCCAACAGGCTGATATTATCGAAGCTAATCAGTGTTTAAATCAATTTGCTCGACAAATTCACAATGCAATGGTCTACTTAGAACAAAATTTCGTTATACACCGAGATTTAGCAGCAAGAAATTGTCTACTAGACGCTTATGGTCAAATTAAAGTGGCTGATTTTGGACTTACAAAGTAAGGTTAAGTATAAACACAAACAGATATGAGACAGGAACTTACCTGTGCTTCTTCTTCTATCAGGTTTACCAAAGATGGTATTTACATGGGAAATCCACAAACAATTTGTGCCATTCGTTGGACAGCACCTGAAGCATTGTCGTTTCAGCTTTACAGCCCAAAATCCGATGTTTGGAGCTACGTAAGTTATTCAATGTATACAAATATGATATTTTCTCCATTTTCTACTCTATATAGGGTATTGTTCTATGGGAAATTTATACACTCGGTCAAAATCCATACGGTGATATGTCGAACCGCCGCGTTCAGTATTGCGTTGAGCAATTGGCGATTGAACAAATACTGCTAGAACCATATTTTGGCTCGACGAACATATATCATAATCTTATTCTTCAATGTCTCAGAAAAGATTTGGAATCTCGACCATTCTTTTATCAATTACAGCCATACGTAGACATGTTTTTAAAATGATTTATTCTCAATTTTTATTGGATCAAGTTTTCTATGTATTCTGTTACCAGTAGGAATTTGGCAAATAAAGAGATATCTCTTAAGATACGCCACGTGCGGACATTTTTTCGTCTCAGTGCGTCGATAGAAAAGAAAGAGAACAGAAAGATATGAATGTGCAAAAGAGATATCCCGTTATTTGCTACTTGTCTATAAAGAATACATCGATGTCATTTAGCATAGGCCACAACGCACTCTATATAAGAGAATAAAAGGAGTCATCGGATAATTATAAGAATCGACTGTTCACTGCAATTAATAAGGTGTTGAGGGTACTCTATTTATATTCATAAATAAAATGCAAGTCGAGTTTTAGTACAACCTTGCAAATACAGTTTTCTAGTGTTATCTTCTGATGCCATGATAGTAAAACTCACATGTATTTGTTACTTTTGACAGCTTGACTAATGAATTTACTTTTCATAAGAACGAAAGATTCTGTTTTTCTTTTTTCCCAACGGAATTTTCGTTCGTTACTCATTAACCGATAAGGCTCCATCTAACCGCTGAGGTGTTCGATCACTTGAGAGAATCTTGATTTCTTCTATGAATGATTCGAACCTGTGTACATTTATTTATATTTAGCGAATTAGTTTTCAAGATATAGATCATAAAAATTGCTTGCATAGAAGCGTTTTCAGCTTTTATCGCTATTTGTTTTCAGCGTTGCTTTTGATGTTGGTTGAAGATTTTGTAAGAAAATTACCTGAACATGAAGTCTAGGAAAGTGCATTTTAGGGTATTCTCACTTCAAGAAGAATCATTCAGCAGAATATTGTGTCTTAGAATGACAGAAGTTCTGTTCATATAAACAATCCTCTCCACCTTCATCCATTTTGGGCTACCTGTAGCTAGACTCGTTCTAAATTTGATGTTCTCAGTTCATGTTTATTGAAAAAGATTATTGTCATGGTATTTTAAAAAGGAGATTACAACAAAAGAAGACAGTACACACAAAAAACAGTATATCAGAAAATTCTTGAGTATATACCTGAAACAGCACAATCAAATTTTCATCAGAATGTAAAAAGCTTGGTTAGTAAATAATTGTTGATACGAACTTTTGGAAGATCCGCAAATAAAACGCAAAAACAAAAATGAAGATAAAAAAACGCAATAAAATGTGTTTCAGCAATAGAGTTCTGTCTTGCAGTGTAAATTCCTCTTTTCCTCCATGTCGCATGCAGACATCTAAATGTGAGATATATCAACCTCTGCTGGCTGGACGAAGAAAATTTCTTCTTTTATTCAGTTACCTCTTATGGTTGCAATGAATCATCCTTTCCAATGGACGTGAAAATATAAATACGTTCTCTATAGTTTATGCAAAAAATGAAAACAAAGCGGCAGTTGAAGACAAATACTATACAGAAATACTCGTGAGTTTCTTGTATACAGTACAAAACAATGATTGTACTAGCGATAAATCTTATCATTTCAGTCAGAGATCATCTCGAAACATACACTGGTCCACTGGAAGATGCTTGCCTCTTGCCATCTGACGAGGAAAGATCCCAAAGTGTGCAATCGCTTTTTGCTTGAAATCTAGTGGACAGTAGGTAATCGACTGTGCTAAATCCGAATCTGATATCGGTTTGTATTGCTAGGCCTCCAGAGACCGGGTTTCTGGGAAACCAGGTTTTCAGAAACTCCGAGACTATCTAAATTGCAAAATCGCTAACGTATAAAACTTCCTAAATTATATAATAATTCCTAAATTGAAAATTGCTAAATTCTGAAACTTCCGAATTATAAAAACTGGTAAAGTATAGAACTTCCTAAAGTATAAAAATCCCGAAATTGAAAAAATTGCTGAAGTATAAAATTTCCTAAACGATAAAAATCGCTAAATTGATAAAATTTGCTAAATTCAAAAAATCCTGAAAAAGATAGCTAAAATCTGAAACTTACTAAATTATAAAAACTGCTAAAGTATAAAACGTCCTAATGTATAAAAACCCCAGAATCATAAAAATTGCTAAATACTGAAAGTTCCTAAACTATAAAAAGCCCAAAATCATAAAATTTCCTAAATCCTAAAGGTTCCTAGATTATAAATAACGCTAAATTCGAAAAAGTTGTAGATTCAGGTCAAGTCGATGAAAATATTTTGCAAGTCAAACGGATGAAAAATTTTTTCTTCAAGTGAAGTCCGTGCTCAGAGGAATGATCCCATTACGTTTCTTGTTCATCGTTCTCATAGTTCATCGAACTTGACTATGTACTGGTATCTCTTTAGAAAAAAAATATGTGATTATAAAAATCGTTTTTTTCGAAAAATATGCTTTCTTTCTCGAGATATTTGCAAAATACTGAAAATCCCATATAAAAAATCGATTTCTCATTTTGAAAACTGTCTCACGCGGAAAGTTGAAATCGAAAACGCTTTAAAAAATGATCGAACCTGAGATAGGGTGTGAAGTATCTGTGGGAAAAACATCTCATTTAGAAAAGCACATTTTCTTCTATATATAAGAAAAAATTTTAAATATATAGGAAAGGAGAACAAAATTTACCAACCTAAAATACTGAGATTTTATAGGCTTTGTGGGAAAAACTTAAAAACTTCAGAGTTTTTTAAGAAAGGTTATGGAGAGCTGGGACCGACCACATTTTATAGTCCAGACTTTCCTCTACATTAGACTATATTCAGCTCAAAATGAAAACGTTTCTGCAAAAAAAGAGAGGGGCCTTACCCTTAAGCATTAGTCTAATAGTCTGAATAAAACTTCTTTTCTTTTCATTTTATTCGCTTCTTTCTATTATTCTTAGATAATCTAGCTTTTTCCTGTTCTGTTACGTGCTATAAATGCCATTCATAGCACGTAACAGAACAGATATACATGCATTCATTGAATGCACGTATATCCCAACAACTAAGAAATCGACTTGTGTGGTCTTTTTTCGAAGGGTGTGTTTAAAGACTCGAATAATGTATGTATTCGACTGTGGTGAATATCGTACAACTTTCAGAAACTCTTAACAATGCTTACTCTTACCATTCAGTATAGGGGGAAGATTAAAAAGTATAGTAACAACAAGAAATAAAAAATGATTCTGTGTGCATTTACAAGAAAAAAATTCAAGTACGCGTGACGCGATAATAAACGTGATTGCGAGATAAGAGTTTTATTTATTATCACGGTTTTGTGACAGCCTACAGACAGTCTGGCTAAACTCGAGATTGCCATACCACGATTCCTGCTTTACATGATTTCCACTGGTGCTATAACAATTCGTCATGGTCATTTTTGTCTCCGACAATTCGTCTTAGTCTTTCAGACTCTTAGTCCGACAATTCTTTTCAGAAACTGACGAGGGAACTTTCCCAAGTAGCCAATCACTTTTCTCTTAAAACATACACGATTGTGGGTAATCTTTGATACTGATCACGAATATGATACCCGTTTCTGCTCTAGGCCTTCATGGAATGGTTCTCTGGGTGTTTTTTTCAATTACGATTCCAGACTACGCCGCGATCGCACTTTCCTCTTAGGGCAGCGATATTAAGCAAACTCACGGAGAGACTCTTGTAGCAAATTTCATTGACCGATTTATTTTGCCCAGACTCAAAGTGTATAATACGTACTGATTTCTACGCAATTATCCGAGTTTCTTTGGAATTCGAATGTCCGAAGACTCGCTTGGAACCTCTAGCTGGACATATTCTGGCACTGCCAGACTGCAGAGCACGTTGAATTACCTATGTGGGAAAATGTTCAGAACCAACGAACAAGTGTTCGCACAGATAGAAAATTTTCAGGGTTCAAAAACCTGAAAATTTTAATTCCGTACTGAAACACGCAACAGGCTTGAGTTAATCTTTAACTAGGGTGCCATTAAACTCGTCCTTCTATGAATTTGTTTTTAGAATTATTCTTCGAAAAACTTTTCTCTAGTAATAACAAATTTGATGATAAAATAGATGGTCAACTGTTCAAGCCCAAATTTCTCTTAAAATTAAAAAAATAAAAATTATTTAATTTTTTTATTTTCGGGTTTGAAAATTTACTCCGATCGATCTAGATTACCTAAAGTTCACATTTCAATGGCCCTTTCAGTTAAGAGTAAATCCATGGAGGTAACAATAGTTATTTTATTTTATTCTGATGTCCTCCGCACATGGCATATTTTCTATAGTTCCCACTATTCACAGGCACTTACTCAGTGACATTTAAACTGAATCACATGTGCGCTCCTTTTTTTCTTTTTTTTAAAATTAAACGGATATCAGATTCATGACCAGCATCAAAGATTACCCACAATCGTGTATGGTTTAAGGAAAAGCGATTGAACACTTGGAAAGGTTCCCTCGAAAGATGAATTATCGGATCACAATTTATTTTGAAATTTTTGAAATCAATCAATTTTATTTTAAGTCAATGATGTTAGATGACAGTGGCGGTGACGAAAAGTTTGGTAAAAATAGAAAGTAGTTCTATGTTCAAAATTTCTTTTGTTTTACTTGTAGTATAAGAACCTGCACA